CCTAAGAATATCCTTCAATTCTTGTCCCTGATGGGTCTAACTCTGAAAAGGTAGCGAACTCTGAAAAAGGGCGAGCACAATAAATCTATGTATCTCACAGTGCTACAGGTCCAAGCAACTGACAATAGCCTAAACCCCTCAATAAAAACGTATACCGTAACTTCACACATTATTTGGGTTCGATGTTTAGATATGGAGATATGATAAACTACTAGTAATAATGTATTAAAAATACTTCAGTTCAGAATCGATCCCTTGACTGGATTTATGCAAACCGTAACACTCACCACTGCGCCATAGCGGCCTCCAGATAATTAGTTCATGTCTGATCTCGCTTTAAATTTTGAAACACTAATTACTCAATGAAAGGCTCGGTCCATCCTTTTATGAATGCCCAGTGACCCAGTACTTACTGACACCAGTGGTAAGGGGTGTGGGCGATTTTTAAAGCCAAAAGAAGGTCTAAGGACGATAAACATTTAAAGATAATAAAAAATAATTAATGCAGAACCTTTAGAAGATAATAATTATACATCATAAATTAAAATATAGAGTGTCACATAAATATGTAGAAGCGACAATCTCCTAAAATTGTTATAGGATAATAACCGCCCTAATAAAATTTTAGGACAAAAAATTAGGGCGGTTGTAGAAGACCCTTGTCGCCTGTGATAAAGAAGACAGTAAATTGTATTTTGAATTTTAACAAGGTTTGAATAAAGCTCTCTTTGTTGCATTCAGAGAATCAGGTATTTGAATATACAAGACATTCTCCTAAAATTGTTACAGGATAATAACCGCCCTAAGACAATTTTAGGAGAGTATAATTAGGGCGGTTGTAGAAGACCGTTGTCGCCTATGATAAAGAAGAATAATCTATTTTGAATTTTAACAAGGTTTGAATAAAGTTCTCTTTCTTACATTCAGAGAATAATATAAATATAGGAGATCTTCTCCTAAAATAGTTTAGGGCGGTTATAGAAGGTATATAGGAGCATCGTCGCTTATGTTAACGAAAAAAGTAAATGCAATTTTGAATCTTAATAAACTTTGAATAACGACCTTTCAGTTCCATTCAGAAAATCGTATAAGTATAGCCGAACATCTCCTAAAATTGTTTTAAGACGGATATAATTAATTTAATTACGGATTAAATTAATAAGAGCACGGACCATATGTATGTGGGAAAAAATCTTTGATATAGCGTTCATTTATAAACAATCAAATGTTTCTTCTTTATCGACTTACTGCAAACTAGTGGCAATAAAGTAAACCAGTATTGGACAATACGTCACAATCTGTCAATAATGACATCTGTATCGTGAGATTTAATAAAAGACATATTCGCGCTCTATGGTATTTGTTTTATCTGTAGATATTTGATACAATTTTATTTTTAGAAAAGTTGTGTTACAAAAGTAGTTTGTTTGGAAGTACTGTATTTCTCTATATTCAGCCTCCTAAACCTAAGTTGAAATTATTACAGTTAGTGGTCGCCCATCGGTCGAAATTCGACTATATATAATTAAACGTTCAGTAAGACTATAGACAAAAATATTAATCTATTCTCAATTTGACCACAGACTTTAACAATGAAGAAAAGAGTATATGTGTCAACTGCATGGAAGTGTGTGTAAAGTTGTTTTTATTGATTTAATGTATTTTATGCGCTGTGTCTAAGACGTTAGGTGTTGTTACTTATAAATATATGCAACCTCATTTTACTACATTGCATTATATAACTTTTAAAAAAAGAACACAGAACACTCCAATTTTAAATTTGACATTCTGAGCTATATCAATGGAGGGAAAATACAAAATCATTTACATTAGTACAAAATATTTGTTTTATTTTCACAAGAACAAAAGGATAGTACAAACACACTTGTTTAAAAAAACATATTGGCTTTCTGCTCTCCTTCTGTATATAAAATATAAGTGCGATTTTTATGTTCCCCAGTCCTCGCAAATTTCGTAATCAGGTGTATAAAGCTTTTGCTTCACGTATTAAAATATATATACATATACATATAATCGAATCCGCGACCATCCGAAAGCGGAATGCCAAATCGCTAGATCACCGAGACCGTTAATGAAATACTATATCGGAAAATACATACAAAATATTTCATGATATCTGTGATACTTTGACGACCTCGGTGGTCTAGCGGTCTAGCACACCGCTTTACGTCCGATGGTCGAGGGTTCGATTCCTCTACATTTGTATTCATGAGTATGATTGTTTGTATTTGTCTGGGTGTTTTCTAAGTATAATATGTATGTATTTACGAAAAAAAAACTTATCTATGTATTTGTATCAGTTGTCTAGTACCCATAAAACAAGCTTTAGATAGCTTAACTTGGGTCTAGAAGGCGCTGTGTGAATTGTCCTGAGATTATTATTATATTATTATTACTAATCATGTATATAGCTTGTGTATTTAGATACTGTTTTTTTTACTCTCGTGTATATTTTTCGTAGAAATTGGTAGTAATTTTAACGGTAGTATTAGTAGTTAAAACAATAATCCTCGGTTGTGAAGCCATAGAAACACCCGCCTGGTCTCCATTGCCTCGTAGTTTGTACGCATGTATATCACATTATAAAAAATGAGGCCAAATATTATTTATAGGAATGGTTTCTATTTTATGCATTAAAAGAAATTTACTTTTATGTTTGTCCCTTATTCCTTGTATTTTAATGGTGATGGTAAGTGGTAACTGTAGCTCATCCTATACAGATGAACTTGCGATTATTTGCCGTTCCTGAGGAATTGCCTTGCAATTATATTGCTATGAATAATAGCCGAGGCGGCTCACTCCCGAGAAAGATGCAGAAAGCGGTGCTCTTAGATTCTGCCCGCATTGTACGCCGGTTTCTTTCCCTGGGGCTCTGAACCCCGGCCGACTGTGCTTCTGCCGGGGGTGAGTTGCCATCTCCTCTCCTTAAGAGGGGAGATGAGAATTTTTTTAAGTTTAAGAAATAATAATAATAATCTCACGATAATTCTCACAGCGCTATCTAGATCTAAGTAAACTAGATAAAACTTGTCTTATGGGTACTAGATAAGTGATACAAATACATAAGAAACACCCAGATCGATACATATATTCATACTCATGAATACAAATGTTTGTGACGTGCGAGGAGTTGAACCCACGACTATCGAAAGAAAGGCGGTATGCTAAACCGCTGGACCTATATATATATATATATATATATATATTTCAAGCAATAGATTACTAATTAATATACTGTTATATAAAATCTATAAATAAATATTCAGAGATCTAACCGATTTGTAAGCTATGAATTTTAAGGTTTTTGTACAAAAAACTTAGAATTCATAGCGCTGACAATATTATCTGATTGTACTATGAATGAGTGCGCAGTGGTTTCTATTTTAATTATCGCATGCCTCTCACTTGTTATCGTGTTATTATTTATTTAAAATAATATCTATTCAAAAGAACAACACACAAGTTTCTTGCTCATTCTTCTTGTGATGAGTCTGCGTTCCTAATGAGTAGTAGTATAAAAAAATATGACTATTCAAAAGTGCTATTAAGTTTATTAACTGAATAAAAATTATAAAATACTTTCCTGTACTTGAAGACTTTACATAATAATATTTTGTATGAGTCATTTATTTGTAAAGCGATTACATATTTTTCCGTTTTACTAAAAAAATTAAATTTTTCCTTCTCATTATTTGTTTTTTATCAAATTACAGGCCTGGAAACAAAATATTTCTTTATTTGGTGCCAAAATAATTGCGTTATTACTTCAATATACGCTGCCTCCAAATTAAAAAGGTGAAATGTAAACGTTTGATTTACCCTCATTTTTAATAAAAAAACAGATTTTAATAGTTTGTTTACATAAAGATACTAACGTTGAATGTCAATTGAATTATATAATGTCTTCGTCGAATTACGAATGGTTCAGTAGTCGTGACGGTATGTTATTTTTTCTCTATTTCATATTTTATTATATTAAAAATGTAATATTCAAAACCGCGTAATATTTTTTACTAGTAAGTATGTAGATTACCTACTATTTGTAACTACATTGTTACCTACTATATTTTTTTAATTGAATGATAATGGAACGATGTACCCTCGAGGAGGTGCTTAAATAATCTAAACACAGTCATATTTGCGGTATAATATGTGTGGAATATATAGTAAAAGTGCGTGGAAAAACTATATAAATAAAAATATTTTCGAGCGTTTTTCACTCATAATTTTAACATGTTAAACATGTTGAACGAAATGGTACGAGTTTAAATTCCTTTCAAAAGAACGACTAGAAATATTGGCATCCAGATTTAAAGAAAGAAATCTGTTTTATTTAATTTTTCTACAGGTTTTTTAATTCTGAAAATTATATTATTATTGTAATGACATTGGAAGAGTTTTGACAAAATTGGTGTGATATAGTGATGCAAATCAGCACGTTCGGTAGTAGATTGTGCCAGTGTACGTTTTATCTAATGACACGTAGGCCACGCAGTTGTTTATATATATAGTTTATGTAATTAGTCTAAGATAGAGTAAATCAAGATGTAACAGTTAATAAGAAGAAGGGTGGAACTTGTACCACCCTTCTAGGCCTGTTATTCTCACCACCATTTCTGTCATCACAGTGGTAATAACATAAGTCCTAAATATAGATATGACCTATCCCTCCTCAGAAAATGTCAGATTAATATTACAATAGCATTTCCATAGGCTGCAGTAACCGTTTACCAGATCATTGTAGGTCGCAGTGCTACAGGTGCTACAAACATCTGACAATAGCCCGAACAACCCAATAAAAAATCCCTCCTCAGAAAATGTCAGATTAATATTACAATAGCAATTCCATAGGCTGCAGTAACCGTTTACCATCAGATGGGAGGTATGATTTATAACCACCATCATGTATAAAAAATATATATTATAAGCAAGATTATATTTTTGTTTCAGATTGTAGAGGGAGGTATTTTCCAGGTAACATGGAACACGCGGAGTTCAGAGTGAAAGGTAAGTCGTTTAACATATAATTTACAATTTTACTAATTAAGCTTTGAAAAGTATGCTTAAAAATTTTAAAATCTATTGCTCTATTTATCTCAAAAAATTAATTTTAAAAATATTTGTCTATCTGTCTCTTTTGCTAATCTCTGAAATGGCTAGGCCGATTTTGACGGGACCTTCACTAGCAGATAGCTAATTTTATAAGGACTAACTTAGGCCATTTTTATTTGAGAATATTTATTTAAATAAATCACATGCGGATGAATAGTCGTTAATATAAGTACTTCTGTATTCATATTATAAATGCGGAGAGTCTGTATATATGTATATGTACATATATGTTACCTTTCACGATTTGTTTATGATCGTGTAAATTGATTAAGCCGGAATTAAAACCATTGAGCATTGATACATACGGTCGGTTTCTTACATAATTAATCAGTTTATTATTCATGTCTCGTAACTACGTAAATAATAATTTTAGTTATAATTGCATTTAGATAATTGATTTATAATAATTGCAGTATCAATGGTGCAGACAGATATACGCGTATTCTAGCCACGAAACAATAATTTATTTATGTCACTTCGCACAGGTTTTGTAATATTACAACTATCATTTAAAAGGGAACACGCAAGTTTCTTTCTCGTTCTTCTTGTGATGTGACAGCTTTAAAAATGAGCGGTAGATTAAGAAAAACCTATTACTATTCTAAGGTGCTTAAATTGAGTTTATTTGCATAAAGGATTATCTATTCTATTCTATTTTTGTATTAAGACTCCGAATAAGTTCTCTGTATTTCTTACATTCTAAAGAATTCATATATAAAATATAAAGATTAAAAAAAATTAACTACAGGTTGTTCATCATTAGAGACCACTTTCCCCTACTTTTCTGGTACTACATGAATATCAATCCAGTTCAATCTATAGATTTAATTGAGAAGAACTGGCAAGAAACTCAACTGTATTTGTATTTTTTTTAAATAGAAACAGGAATTATGTATTACTAATTATGTCAAATAAATAAAAATATATGTATATTTATATCAGTTGTCTAGTACCCATAACACAAGCTGTGCTTAGTTTGGGACTAAATAGCGCGACGAAACGAAACGAGCTGTCCAAGGATGTTATTATATTATATTGCATGTGACTAATATTAATTATATATATAGATTTGTATTTCGTTGAACAAAATACTTTAGATTACTTTTTCATATACATATATGAAAAATTGAAACGTGATCCTACATATAATAATAATAATAATAATAATAACTAACTCTGAAGTACGGCCTCGCGAATGAGAGGTTGCCGTACTATAAGTACGAGCCCCAGCCGGTCCTCGAAAGCGACAGCGTCAAGCTCTACTGGGACCGATCCATCATCAAAGACAGAACCGTTCTTGCGAACAAACCTGATATCGTGGTGATGGATCGGGCACTTTCGAGGGTGTTTTTGGTGGACATCACCATACCGCATGACGAGAACCTCGTGAAAGCTGAAACTGAGAAAAAGAGAAAATATCTCGACCTGGCTCACGAGGTCACCGAAATGTGGGGGGTGATGTCCACCGAAATCATTCCAATCGTTATGTCGGTGAACGGTCTTATCCCAACCAGTCTGGAACAACATCTCAGACGGTTGTGATTCCGGGGCGGCTCACTCCCGGGAAAGATGCAGAAAGCGGTGCTCTTAGATTCTGCCCGCATTGTACGCCGGTTTCTCTCCCTGAGGCCCTGAACCCCGGCCGACTGTGCTTCTACCGGGGGTATGTTACCATCTCCTCTCCTTAAGAGGGGAGATGAGAATATTTGGAATAAATTATGATAATAATAATTTCAGGACAATTCACACAGCGCCATCTAGATCCAAGTTAAGCTAGCTAAAGCTTGTGTATATATTACGGTTATATATGATAGCATGATGGATAGTATAATAAATCGTTTACTTACACTACAATAGCGACAGTCTGTACATTGTACACTGGCTACATATATCTACATAATCTCACCCTACTTCCCTCGTCGTAATCGAGCAACAGTATATCCTAAACTGTGTTCATAGCAATAAAACGAGATCAACACGTCCCTATATGGATGTCGATATTAAATCGTTTGTCTGTACATCGACAATCTTTATTGGGTCATTGGATTTAGAATAGAAGTTATTGTCTGTGTTCATTTTGATGTTTCGATTCGTTACAAACTAACTTACAATTTTTTTATGTAACTGAAATGGTTATAGTACTTAGTCCATATTTTATACCATACTAGCTGACTCGTGCAACTTCGTCTGCGTTTCATTTCCCCAACTTTTACAGTATTTTTCATTGCAGCTCCGCTCCTATCGGTTGTAGCGTAATGTTATATAGCTTAAAGCCTTCCTCAACAAATAGACTATCCAACACAAATATATTTTTTCAATTCGAACCTGTAGTTCCTGAGATTAGCACGTACAAACAAACAAACAAACTCTTCAGCTTTATAATATTATAGTATAGATTTCATCTATCTCAGTGTTCCCAAGCTTTTTCCTTATCATCTTTGTAATATAATTTATAACATTAATTTATTAATTCTTCTTCACTATAAGTAATGTTGATAACATTACAGTCTGACAATTTTATGATACCTGAAATGATTAACCCACAAAGCCTCTGGCTCGCGGTCTATAGTCCCTCTTCAAGTAACAAGAACTGGTAACATTTCTTCAAACACACTCGTTCTATAATCGAATTAAAACGTCATTCGTGTACCTCCTTTGTTGGAGCAGCAATCGTCTTTCGCCACAAAAGGATCGAATGAAATTCATTGCACTTGTGAATGCGAAGGATTTCATCTATTTTTAAACAACTTTAAAATATATCTCTTTTATGTCTTTCATGTCGATGGCCTTGGTTGTCTAGCGGTTTATCACACCGCCTTAATTCCGATGGTCGCGGGTTCGATTCCTCGCACGGCACAAATATTTCTATTCAGGAGTATGATTATTTGTATCAGTCTGGGTGTTAGAAAACACCCAGACTGATACAAATAATCATACTCATGAATATATAATATGTATGTATTAACGAAAAAAAGTATTACATAGATATTTTTTTTGTTAATACATACATATTATATATGGAAAACACCCAGACTTTGTATCAGTTATCTAGTACCCATAATACAAGCTTTAGCTAGCTTAACTTGGGTCTAGATGGCGCTGTCTGAATTGTCCTGAGATTATTATTATTATGTATCTAACTAGTAATTATGTTATAGTCGCGACTTCGTCTGTACAAACTTTCATCCCCTATTTCACCCCTTCCAATTTTGTTTATTGAAATAAAAGATTGCTACGTCCGTTCTGGTGATACAACCTATCTACTTATAAAATTTTATTAATATCCGTTCAGCCGCATAGTTGTTTTAAGGTAACAAACGAACAGACAAAGCATTCATGATATTAGTGTATATATATATATATATATATATATAGATATTCGAAAAACGTAGGATTTTGTTACCAGAAATACATTACGTGTCAATTTATTTCCTCTATCTGACTTTCTGGTTATGGAAACACCGATAACAAATCAAATCCGTGAATAGACTCCGGGGTATAGATTCAGACCTAGCTTCGTTAGATTATCTATATTAATATGCCAAAAAATAATATAGGGACGCTCTTAGGATTTGAGATATAATTTAAGTTTATTTGTTACCAGCTAAAGAGATGGTGGACTTCATAGCTGATTATCTGGAGAACATTCGAGAACGCCGCGTGTATCCCAGCGTGCAGCCAGGGTACCTCCACAAGTTATTACCAACGGAAGCCCCCCAACAGGCCGAGAAATGGGATGACATCTTCAAAGATGTTGAAGAACACATAATGCCCGGCGTATGTATGAACTACTACTACGTCACTATTTATTTCTATTAGTATATTGTTTGACATGTTAATTAAATAATTCATAAATAATGTATAAATTAATGATATTTAATTTTGAATTTTAACCAATTTTTATTTATATATTAAAAATACAATCCAAATACATTAATAATAATAAATGTTAATTTCATCTCCACAAATTACATAATTCCAGTTTTATTATATAAATGCCAACAATAAAAATCACAAATATAATTTGTGGGAAATCTGGAGCCTGTACCTTAGACACCAGGTCTCCATATAATAATCAATAATCTCTTCATATAAATTTGTAATACATCTAGTTTTTAGTTTATACGTGGAGTGAATTACGTGTGTGTATGTATGTGAGTGAGTGAAAGATCTATGTAAAATTTATATTTAATCTTGTAATTTATATTTTACTTATATTTACATGTGTGTATTTAATTTATGTATATTATAGTTTATACATTAAATTTCTAGAGAAAACCAATAACATATTTTCAGTGACTGTAAAAATATAAATTTAGAAATGCAAATCAAACATTTCACAATAAATAAAAGTAATAGAACATATACTTTAAGAATTATAAATACGATAATTGTATCTCAAATAGAAGATCTGAATTATAATGTAATTGTACATATTATGTTAAATCATATTTATTGAATAAAGCCTACTTACTAAACGATTACTTAAATGACAAACGTGCATGGTTATAGTTGTTCATCCACTGGATTTTCATTTAATGTTAAACATAGACACCTTTACAAGATAACAAAGTAAATAAACTGGATTTAAAATAAAAAGAAATTCAATTGAGCTTCTTGCCAGTTCTCAATTGAATCTGTAATTTGAACTGGACGGAAAGAAATAATAGTACAAAAAACTTGACATCCATAAGCGGCGAAAATCAACATGAATATATAATTTTTGATTTGATTTCATAATTATAATAATTTCAATATATTGTATATCGCATGTTATGTACTTAATTTTTTAATAACCTACCATGTTCCATGTGAGAAATGAAATGAAATTATATGTGCCAATTAGTATAAAAAGTATAATAGGATAATTCAATATGATCATTAATTACATGTTACTGATCATATTGAATTTACATATTAAAATTGATCATATGATCATATTATATCACCGTTAATCTTCCTAAAATAAATAAATAGAAATAACAATCTTACCATTGTAAAATGTTAAGTATAACGATATTGCTGTGTTCGATGTATAGACTTATTTAAATGAACGTATATAAAATAAAATATTAATAAAATGTGTTGCAATAACATTGGTTTTGAAGCCAAAAGAATAAGAAATATTAAGACTATTTCTATTATCTTTTAAAACTAAAAAGGTTTCATAGACCTTTGTTGGAATTTCCAACAAATACAAGAGTAATGATTTCTGATATAGTGTGTTTTTTTCAATAGCTGGTGCACTGGCAGAGTCCTCATATGCACGCCTACTTCCCGGCTCTAACCTCGTACCCATCCATCATGGGTGACATGCTGTCCAGTGCCCTCAACGTCCTGTGCTTCACTTGGGTAAGTAATTATTTAAAAAGAATTAATTTATTTTTAGAATTAAGTAATCATTACCATGTTTTATTTATTATATTCCCGATATTTCGGCTGCACTATAATGTTCTACGATGATGATAAAATTAAAGAGTAGTAAGAGAGTAATAAGAGAGTAGATCATAGTAAGAATAAAAATGTCTCAGGACAATTCACATAGCGCCATACAGTCCCAAGCTAAGCGCGACTTGTATTATGGGTACTAGAGAACTGACAGATATTTTTTTACTAAATATCTATATAATATACATAGAAAACACCCATATCGATACAAACAATCATACCCATGAACAGAAATTTTGGACCGTGTGAGAAATCGACAGCAGTAGCAGCGCAGATGACACTCTAGCACCAGCGGAAGGACTTATGAAGCGGCTGAAAGCCAACTCCTGCCCGACGGATATGGCTTTTGTCTGGGGACACCGCTAAGGGTTCGAATCTCGGCACAGGCCATTATAATTTCGACCCTCGTTTGAATTGGATGGGAGATCGATCGGAAGGGAGTAAAAAACGGTGAAGATTTCGAGTTTTAATTCTGCCCAATAGTTTAAAAAAAATTGGAGACTTTTTAAAACTTTTCGATTGGGAGACTCGAAAAGAACGGAACTTATAAGTTAACAACAACAATGTTTTATTCATCATCAGGCGTCATCACCAGCAGGCACTGAACTGGAGACGATTGCTATGAACTGGCTCGGCAAACTGTTGGGGCTTCCTGATTGCTTTCTCAATGAGAAGAATGATAGTCCGGGCGGTGGAGTCATTCAGGTATAGATTTACTAATATTAATGGCAAGTTTATATAATAATAACTAGCTGGTACGGCAATCTTTGTTTTGCTATATAAATTAATGTTACTAATAAAAAATAGGGGTTGATGGTATAAGGGTGAATATTTAGGGTTGCCTTTTTTAATGCCGAAACATAAAAATATTGTCCATTAAATTATAAAAAAAATTGGTATGGGCCATCCTTATCACTTAGAGGTATAAAACATAGATAATCTGTTCTCAGACATAGCCTACTATCCTACTGGGTATACATATTAAATTTCATCAAAATCGGTAAAGCAGTTTCAAAGAAGAAAAAAAAAGAGATATGGCTAACTTGCTCACCATACTAAGCAGAGCCTGTTTCATGGATACTATACCACTGATACAAATATTTAACTACATTTTTGTAAAAGCATACATAATGTATATAGAAAACACCCAGACAAACGGACATTTATTTCGATGAATTGTATTCGACTGTAACAGCGTCTAAATATCAGGAACTTAAAATCATTTTATTATAAATAATAATAAGTGTCCCTATTTATATATAAATAGTATATATAATTTTTTTTTTGTGTTTTTTTTATTTTATGAAAATCAACGGTAATTTCTTTATCCACTATTAAGTCGAAATTCGACCTTAATTAATATAAATTATTAGTTGAACATTATTAAGGTTCCATTCTCAAAATCTAGACGTTAAATACGTGTGTATTAAATACATGGTATGTATTATTTTTTGATAGATATAATGTTTATTTTTTATATATTAAAAAAAATATTAGCATTCTGCACACTTTCTCTATGTAAAGTACTAGCTACTCGCCTCGGCTTACATGTATTATTATACGTGTCTTATATGTATATATAAACCTTCCTCTCAAATTACTCTATCTATTAAAAAACCGCTTCAAAATCCGTTTCGTAGTTTTAAAGATTTAAGCATACATAGGGACAGACAGCGAGAGCGACTTTGTTTTATACTATGTAATGATGATGAAAAAATATTCTGCACTCTTTCTCTAAAGAAAGTAAGTATAAGTGTACGATTTTTCATATCAATCGCAATTTTCATAATAAAGTTTTTACTTCACGTATATATATAATATAATGGTTACCAAGTAACTGATATTCATTGATTTTCCACAATAAACGTTTGCAAGCCATTAATTTGCTTAGAAACTGTTCAGCAAAATAATGTTATCGTGCTTTAGAATCTTCACTGACCTTTATTAAGACTTATCTTCAATGTTCGCTCGCGCAGATTGAATTTATTTTGGAGGTGAAATTAAATAACAAAATCTGTTCAATCAATAGTTTAAATTTATTTATAGAAGTAAATAAATATTAGATTATAGATAGATCTGTCTACTGATACTGTCTGTCTACGTTATTTACTGTTATTACTTTTCTAATTAATTCCTGTAAATTAAATAAGATCTTATATATAAAATTCTCATAACACAATATTAGTTACCATACTATGTCCATTATGTGTCACAATATTAGTAACGACTTGACCGATTTTTATCAAATTTCAATGCATATTCAGTAGGTCTGAGAATCGGCTAGTATCTATTTTTCATACCCCTAAGTGATAAGAGTTGTCCACCTCTAATTTTGTTGTTGTTGGCATTAAAAATATATAGAACCCTAAATTTTCACCCTTCTATCACCAAATTCTATTTTTTAATAAAGATACTAATTTATATGGCAAAACAACTTTTTCGAAACACCTAGTTTACCATAAAGTTATTCGTGTAACTATATTGATAAGATTTCTTATAAGTAAGATGTTTGTACTAACAGACTACGGCCAGTGAAGCAACTCTGGTCAGCTTACTGGCGGCTCGTACCAGGGCCCTCATGGAGTTGGCCAAACTGAACCCTGAGGTGCAGTCATCAGAGTTACTTGGCCATCTGATCTGCTACTGCTCCGATCAGGCCCACTCCTCAGTTGAGAAGGCTGGACTAATTGGTAAGACAAATGGAAGTTATTAATAATAACCCTGGACAATTCACACAGCGCCATCTAGTCCCATGATAAGTAGAGCTTGTATTATAGGTACTAGATAAGCGATAGAAATACTATTTTTGTAAATATGTACATACATAATATACACAGAAAACACACAGACTAATATAAAAATTCAAACTCATGCATACAGAAGACGACAAGTAATATGAGACAAGACAACTATATATGTGTATGTTAATAATCATTAACATACACATATATATCTTATTAATTGTTTGGTTTATACGAATACTAGGTACCTACCCGGCTTCAAACGGGTGGACATGTATTATACATATAAACCTTCTTGAATCACTCTATCTAATAAAAAACAGCTTCAAAATCCGTTGCGTAGTTTTAAATGTTTAAGCATACATAGGGACAGACAGACAGCGACAGTGACTTTGTTCTATACTATGTACCTAATGTTGTTAATAAATATTGTATTTCATTCATATATTATTATTATTCTAACCAGGTCTGGTCAGGATGAGGTACATCGAGTCTGATGAAAACCAGAGCATGCGCGGTGCTCAGCTGGAGGAAGCGATCATCAGTGATAAGGCCAAAGGATTAGTACCGTTCTGGGTAAGTTATACATTTTTATTGTATTTATTAAAATTTAATTACCAAAGGTATACGACATTTTTCCATACGTAATCTAAATTGACAGAGGTAGCTAACGACTTTGTATGTAATCCACTTCTGATATACGAGTCATAACATTAATATTACATATAAAGACAAACTTGCTGTTCCTAAGTAACTTTTAGAAAAACTAAATAGGTTTTTTATGGATTCCGATAAAACACAAATTGACTTTTTCTAAATATGTTTGTCAGTTCTTCTTAGCGCAAAAGTACTACGAACTGACAGTAGATTTGACATATAATAATAATAATAATAAATCCATTTATTGCCAATATCAGTATAGTTACACATTTATACATATTTAATATGATTGGCAATAGGTACAAACTCAGCTATTGCTGGACTGATGGGCGTCCAGCTCTGGTTTTCTGTTTGTGCTAGATAATCATACCACAACATAATGAAATAAAAATTTAACAAATTAATACATAAATAATAATAATATCCATACGGATACACACGTGCAATGCATATTATGAGAGTCTATAATGTTTGTTTTTATGAGAATGGGTATAAAAAATTACAACAATACACCAAAGGATATACTGGAATTACATTCAAATACATTTAAAACATTTGTTAAATCAGATACTCACTAAATGATTAGTTAAAAGACAAACGTGCATGCCAATAGTTGTTCATGAACGGGATTTTCATTTAATATTAGACATAGACATATATGTGCACAAAGTAAATAAACTGGCTTAAAAAAAATCTGTTGAGTTTCTTTCCAGTACTTCTTATTTGAATCCATATACTGATATGGATGGTAGGGAAAAATATGTATTTATAGAAAAAACTTAACGTTCATAAGCGTCTTAAATTTACTACTAGATTAAATAATATTTGATTCGATAAGATTTTGCATAGTTCTTAATAATCGAAAAGCTTTAAAAGTTTAAAATCTAAAATTAGAAGCTTGTTACATTGAATAAATAATATTGCACTGTGATATAAAATTAATAAGACACAGTCTTCATAATTCCCTTGTGGCTTTTAGAATATATATTTAAAACCACTCCAATTAGTTTCAACGGAAAGATCAGATGTTTTCATTTTAAAATGGCCGCTCGCTTGCTTTATTCCCTATGAGACCAATTTGTTCTAGAGATTTAGGAAAGTCAATAGGTTGTAGCGTAAGTGACGAGCGGTAAGCGTATATAGGAAATATGTATTTGTTTTCAGGTTAATACTAAGGGTATATAAACTTTACGCGTTTTGATTAATGGTTTATATTGGAATGGGGGTGCACCGCCTGCTCTAATGGTTTATGCTGGCGGGGCACCAGTCGAGAACAATAAGATGAGCATGAGGTCATGTTAGTTAGTCTATCGTGACAAATTCAGCAGGATTTTATTATGCTCCCTACCAAAATCGCAAATTTCTGTCGGTAGATTACCTTTTCACGTTTAAAAAGCTAAAAGGATGTAATTTGAATTTAACAAAATTTATATGACGAAGAGAAAATGGGTTATTATTTATACGAAAAAAATACAAGCATGTGAAATAAGGGATACAAGTTTTTGCGAAAAAATTCGCCGGTAATGTTTTCCTCTCGCTGCGTTTAATATCAATAAGTTTATAACTTGGGCCAGAGGCTATCTAGCTTAATAATCCTTTGAAACTATTATATTTTAAAGTACATTATTTGCTAATGATATTAAAATTCTATTTCATTATCGAAGTCTACAGACTTTGATAATTATAACCTGCTGAAGTGTAGAGTGTAGACTTTGAACAGTCGTCTATCTGGACATCTCAATTTCACCTATTTCAGCTAACAGCTGTTTGATTTGTAATATATGTTTCGTTTGAAGGCTACGATATTCCTATATATATATTTATTCATTTATTTCATGCAACTAGGCTCATATTATAAATACCTTATATATATATATATATATATATATATATATATATATATATATATATATATATATATGTGACTCGACTTCAGCTGTGTTACCCTCAATGTCAGGTTACTCTTGGTACGAATATAATCGACAATGTCCTGCTCCTTAGTGGCTTAATGTAGACGGGACAGGTACATTGTCGTGGTCGGTGTAGCAGCACACAGCAGAAAGTTGGGCCCAGTGAGTGCAGTGCCACAATGATTCCTATTGACCCTGTTTGTGCGCCTCTTCTTTTGTACCACGACGAAGCCATCATCGTCGCGGTTCCCAGTGGCAGCACACATAGGGTCAATATTCAGTGCCGTTGTTGGCACACGCCGCTGTACTGAAGCAGTCAGTTTGCTAGCGACGACGGCGGCAAAATCTCGACGCTGTGGTTGCACTGAGGATTTTGTTAGCTAGATAGTTAAATATATAGATATAGATTAGATATATATTCCCCTGAACAGGGGAAAGGAGATTGTTAGTAATGTGGACTAATAATCCTATTGCTAGCAATGTACCATGTTAGGTTGACCTCGACGCGGTTCCCCCTGGAAACCATCGTCATAAATTCTTGGTGAATTTGTCACGATAGGCTAACTACATAACCTAATGCTCATCTTATCATCCTCCACTGGTGCCCCGCCAGCGTAAACCGTTAGCGCAGGCGGGTGCACCATTCTATTATCATCCATAAAAAAAATCCCAGAACAATTCACACAGCGTCACCAAGTCCATAGCTAAGCAGATCTTGTGTTATTACTAGACAGCTGATAAATATACTTAGATACATTTTTTTGTAAACGCATTTAATACACATAGGAAACATCCAGAGCGATGCAATTAATCATATGTTTGTATCGTGTGAGGAATCGAACCAGTCACCATCGGAAGTAAGGCGGTGTGCTAAAGTGTTAAGCCATAGAGGCCGTCATATCAGAATGGATTTATGTGTAACAAAATAACATCATTGATAAAGTTAACAAGATGTAATTGGATCAGGAAGACATACAAAAACAATCTGAATTTCAAGCGCGGATCATTGTATACTCCAATACAGTGTTTTTCAATCTTTTTGATTTCGCGACCCATTTACAGGGTAAAATATTCTGGCGACCCCCTTGTGTCATAGATAAACTAAATAAATAATTTAATTAAAAGCCTACTTACGTTAGTTAGGTAAATATTTTTTTTTATTTTAGTACGTTTATTTATTATTCACGCGGGCCACATGCGTCGACGCCGGCGACGTTGCCACACCAATTAAAAAATAAACAAGCACATCCTTCTCACTAAAATTGTGTTTTTGTTATACATGATCCTAGATATTTTCTTTCACCCGACGACCCCTCGGTAAGGCTTCGCGACACCCCTAGGGTCGCGATCCACAGATTGAAAAACACTGCTCTAATGTAAGGTCGTTCGTATTAAAATCCACTTAAAACCTGACGCCTATCATCGTAATACGTGCTGAAGGTTTTAATAGCATTATTGATAGACCTTGTCTAGTTGACATGTATGATATACTAGCTCTTTACTGGGACTTCGTCTGCTTTTTTGAAGAAGTTGAATAGAAAATTGTTTGTTCAAATAAATTTATATTGGAGCACTTTTGAATAGTCACTACTTTTTTTTATCTACCGCTCATTCTGAAAGCTGTCTCAACATTTGCGTTAACGTTACGAAACTTACGTGTTGCTCTTTAAAATAATTTAGTTCTAACTTTACTTTTTTAACTTAATATGTGTGAATTGCTACCAACTAGCACTAGTTTTTTAAAGTAAAAATATTAAATACACAAAAAACTGGTTGAGTACTTACTCAACCAGTTTTTTGTGTATTTAATATTTACTTAAATAAGAGTAAATCAGTTGTAGTGATTAGAGCAGTCGAGTCTCTACAAGCATTACCACTCACGAGTAAGGTGGAAGAAATTTTAAATAAAAGTCCCCATGTCAGTTCTCGTGAGACAATCCACTGTCCCTACTTCAATTGTTGTATTCCCAGATAAAATAACATAGTAAATTGATATAACTACATACATTATATTGATATGATTTATTTTACTATGTATCTTTCTTGATATATGATAGCGTAGCGGCTTTTGTATTGATTGCCGCATGCATCCTCATGTAAAGTGCGAATACTATAACTACCATATAGTAATTTTTGTAGCTGTGACGTGGTCGAGTGGAATGAGTAGTCATGCTCACTAAAATGTCCAGACATGTGGCGGCGTGGTGGCCCGGGTCATTGGGCTCCCTAAAATATGGTCGAGCGCAGTGATGGCTGGCTCATCCGTCATACTCGTGAACGAGTGCTGCTTGTAGGGACTGGTCTGCTCTTATCACTACGACTGATTTAATCTTATTGTGTTTTTATATTTGAGCCTAAATAAATTAGTGCTGGCTGGTAGTTTGTATTCACACGTTTCGACTTGTAAAATGTGAACTTACAAGGATTGTTTAAAAGAGCAACACACAAGTTTCTTGCTTATTCTTCTTGTGATGACTGTCTCATCACAAGAAGAATAAGCAAGAAACTTGTGTGTTGACTATTCAAAAGTGCCTAAATAAATAAATGATTTTCTATTCTATTCTATTCTATGAAATATATATTTGTATGATATGCGTTTTTTAGTGGTAGAAAGGTGAACATTTAGGCTTAATGTATTCTAGAATATGTCCAAAAAACATACAGAAAATGTTAGGAATGGACAACCTTTATCACTTAGAGGTATGAAAAATAGATAGTAGCCGATTCTCAGACGTACTGAATATACATATAAAATTTCATAAAACTTGGTCAAGTCGGTTCGAAGGAGTATGATAACTGACATTGTGACACGAGATTTTTTATATAAGATCTAGGATTATAGATAGAGAAGTTTCTTGTATAGATGCATAGATGGCTCCATTAGTATCGTATTGCGAAATATAAGATAATTGAAAATTAAACGGAACTAGTCTATGATTCAATACACGTACATGTTAAATCGATAGACAGGACTTGGCTTTCAGCCGCTCCATAAGTCCTTCGCAGGTTTGAATTGCCATTTGCACTCGCCCCTAATCTTTCGATAAAGCTGTACAGGCCAGAGCGGCCAACAGTTTTAGAATAGTTAAATAAAAAGGATAGTTTGAATGGTTCATAAAAAAAGGAAATTTTCTTTAATATTCTTCTGTATTCGGTACTTATGTAACAAAAACTTTGTAAATACCATTTACGAAAATTGAGCAGACGAACGTGTATGAAACTTCGCACAGTCATAGTTCATAAAGAAAAGGACTTGGAAGGAATTTTAAAATAATATTAGCATTCTGCAATGTTAATACATTTTTTAATTATGCATTAAAATACGTAGAATCAATATAAGAAATATAACTCCTGCTGATGGATATGACTTTAGTCTCAGTGCACTGCCAGGGGATCGAACCTTGGTTCAGGCCTTCGTAATTTCAATCCCGATTTGAATTGGACAGGGTATACATCTGAGTGGCGACCTGGGTGCCGCTTATTCTAGGTGTATGTTTACTTCTGTTTATTACAGGTGTGCGCAACATTGGGTACAACCGGATCGGTTGCTTTCGACAACCTGCGAGAGGTGGGACAAGTGTGCGAGAAACATTCTGCTTGGTTGCATGTGGACGCTGCATATGCCGGTAGCGCCTTCATATGCCCCGAGTATAGGTATGTACTTGAATATTAGTTGTTTATGACAAAGTTAGGAATTAACTCATACGCTCTTTCACGCGAAAATGGACTTTCATGCAAGAAAGAATGAGTAAGTATATGTAGACCAAGGGAACGTAAAACACCGTGAGTGTTGCCAGCTCGAACATTCACGCGTTCTTCAATTGTGGGTGACTGACTACTCTACTCCTGTTGGTCGCAGCAGACCTTTAGAGCTTCACCTGATGATAGGGGGCGGGTGCAGATAGCACTCCAAACCTGCGGAAGGACTTATGGAGCGGCTGAAGGCCAACTCCCGCCTGACGGATACGACTTTAGTCTGAGGGCATCACGTCAATTTGTAAATTGTTGCAGTTTTTGGGTGAGATATGGTAGTGAAATTATAGAGTTATCTTAATACTCCGGAATGGCAACTTATGAGTGGTATCACGGGTGTCAAATGCTAACGTAATGTCCGTAGTGCTATTCAAGTATATAGGCGATGGTTGCCACTTACCATCAAGAGGGTCGTCAGATTTTTTGCCATTGGAATAGTAAAGAATATAAAACAAATATGTATCTTTCAATATACCTGGTTACAATATACTATATATAATATTTCCAGGCATTGGCTGGATGGAGTGGAACTGGCTGACTCGTTCGCGTTCAACCCTTCCAAGTGGTTGATGGTCAACTTTGATTGTACAGCTATGTGGTAAGTTTACTGTACAGAACTTTAATTTATTACGGTTTCTGATATTGTAGTTATTTTTATAATAATAATAATAACCTTGGACAATGTACAGAGCCATGGAGTCCTAAGCTAAGCAGAGCTTGTAATACGGGTACTAGACAACTGATATAAGTATATACATAATATAAATAGAAAATAGAAACCTATACAAACAGTGATTCAAGAATATAAAAAACACCTGCTGATTATAATAGAACTTTAAGACATATTGCTAATTTTATAAACCATTTAAGCAGTGTTTTTATTTCAGGGTAAAAGATAGCACAGCTCTTCACAGGACTTTTAACGTTAATCCTATTTATCTGAGACACGAGAATTCAGGTAACTTTATAATAAATACTGTATATAAACTATATTTACATAATATGAAGTCAATGGGTCTTTAGAACCGGTTTATATATTTTTCTCCAATGTTTAATTTACTTTAAGAATAGTTTTAGACATAGAAATAGATTGAAGGTTTATTAAAATAAACTTAATATAAGAATAGTCATATTTTTTCTACTACTCATTCAGAAAGCAGTCTTATTTCAAGAAAAATGCGAATGAAAATAAATGTTGTTCAAACTTACCTTTTTTTGAATAAACCAATCTCCTTAAGCAGTACCAATTCACGGCTATGACGGATGAGCAATACACATACACCACACAGTTCAAATTATAAAAATTATAATGAAACTTATTAATTAATTTATTAACATAATGTAATTTATTCCTTTTTATTTGCAGGAAAAGCCATCGATTATATGGTAAGTTTTGTTGTCTAGCGAATAATTTAATTGTAAATGATTGTTGGGTGAAGATTTCTGTATTTTCTCATTTAGAAGTTTGTTATCACATCAAAATAAATTGCCTGAATAAACTCCGCCAAAAATACTGTAATTGAAATGTTTAATGTAAAACCTTTTGATTAAATGTTCTTAAATGTTTTAAATTAATTTAATTAACTTTTGGTTAGATGTGTTATTGATAGCTATTTTTTTTATTATTTATAATACTACTTGCATTTAATAATCAGTTGGGAACCCAAAAAGCCAATACTCGAAGAAAATTCCGCACCAAAGATGAAACAAATTTTAACCAATCACCAAACACAAAGCATGACATAGCAATTGTAAACGAGAATGGCATTGCTCTGAATGGTAAACATGTAAATGGTGATCTTAAAAGAAATGAAGATACAATTGAAAATACTGATGATTTGGATTTATCTGATGACGACAATACTGACGATAACAATGATCTCAATGAAGGAAAGCTTCACGGGTACAACAAAATGTCTTCTGGATGTGGTAAATCTATACAATTGGAGAATCCTGATAAAAAGGAGATGCTTGTAAGACTTTCTATTTAGGTGATGGGTTGGTTAATTAACGGTGATGGTGATTGGAATAGACGCTTAACATTTAACGGGCAGACTTATATTATAATAAGGTGGAAATAATAATAGTACGAATAAGCAAATTAGTAAGAATGGAAAGTTAAACAGTAATAATATGAATTTAAATAGTTATTATCATAAGTAATTTTATTTATGTATATTTTTCTGTGATTCTAATAGTTTTAATTAGAGAAGATCCTGTAATTGAACAAAACTGTATTTAGTACTTGTATTTTGTAGATATATGTACTTTACATGTGAAGAATATATGTTTAATTGAGCCGTTTACAATAATTGATAAACTGACCAACTTAGAACTAACGTATATTTATTACTAAAGTGAATTTTTAGATTACTATTAAAACATTTTTAAAAATGGTTTAGTAACCTACATAATATAGATAATACTGATATAATATTATTCAGTTTGAAGAATCGAGTTGAATTTTTTCAGCACTGGCAGATCCCATTGAGTCGACGTTTCAGAGCTCTGAAACTTTGGTTTGTACTAAGAAACTATGGAGTCTCTGGAATACAGAAACATCTCAGAGAGGTTAGTATTTTTTTCTCCAATTATATTTGTCTCAAATACAGTATTTTTTGCTACAGCATAATATGCTAAGCAGTAGTAACTTACCTACCAACTGCTATTCTGACATAGTCTGACATAATACTTAATTAAATACTTAATTATCGTCATTCTGCAGATCTTTGTTTTATTAATTCACATCGAGCGGGTGTCGCTATTTTAAACAAAGTGTTTCAAATTTATGAAATTATTATTTTTTGGACACCACAGTATGATCTCCGAAAAAATAAAACTTAAATTTTGAAGAAATTGAAACATGGCAATTGTTCTACAAGACAAAAGTTTAAAGACGTGGTAGGTCCTTGGGACAGTCACGGTCCGTATTATACATTGGGTACCCATACGTGTCTAGCTAAACCAGAACCAATTTATTTTAATGTATAAAGAGAATCATAAAGTGTAATAGTCATAAAGAGATCTTCACCTATTTTATATGCAAATTATTTTGCTATTTCAGAGTGTTCGTTTAGCTCAGAAGTTTGAAGCGTTGGTTCTTGCTGATCAGAGATTCGATATACCTCAACCAAGGAATTTGGGTATGTTTATACTTAAAAATACTGTATTAAAAGTTACTTGCAGAAGATCTGTAATGAAATTATCGAATAAAGTTTACCTGCTTGAATGTTGTAATTTAAATATATAAAAACACCCAGACTAATACAAAGAAAGACTCAAAGACTACAAATATTTGGATTGTGCGAGGAGTCGAATTCATGACTGTCGAAAGTAAAGCGGTATGCTACACTGCTAGACAATTGAGGTATTCGATTAGGATTTTAAACCTGCATATTTTGTTTAATATATATGTGTATATTTTATAATTTCAGGTATGGTAGCATTCAGATTGAAAGGCGACAATGCTCTTACTGAACGCTTGTTGAAGCGCTTAAATGCTCGCGGCTTCATTCATGCTGTACCAGCATGCTTCAAGGGGATATACGTCATCAGATTTACTGTGACTTCGCAGCGCACCACCAATCAGGATATTTTGGGTATGGTCACTGTTTCGATATCTTTTATTAGTGCACACAGATGTAATCTTCTTTTTTTAAATGTTGATCAAATGCTCTTGAATTTGTCTTCTATATTTTATATTGAGGTGCAATCTAGTTAATAATTAAGATAATTTCAAAGTTTAATACACGACAGTTATAGAGAAGTTTTTTTTCGTACTACTCTAACGCTGTTGGCCGCAGATGGCCTTTACAGCTTTACCGGACGATAGGGGGTGAGTGCAGATGGCACTCCAAACCCGCGGAAGGACTTATGGAGCGGCTGAAGGCCAATTCCCGCCTGATGTATAACAACTTTAGTCTGAGGGCTAGTCGTACGAACCTCAGGACCGTTTGAATTGGACGGGGGATCGATCGAAGGAGAAAAGTACGTTTAATGCCTTTACCGATTTACCTTTTTTCAGATGATTGGAATGAAATCAAGTCCGTGGCTAAAGAGATCCTGATTGATGTGTTTGGTTCAGAGAATGGAAATATTATTGTACCAAAGAAACCAAGAATTTCATTGAGAGGTATGTTTCAGTATAATCTTGCTATTCGTCAATTTGTTATATTCTTCTGTTGTTCATCAATTGCTTGAAACCTTAAACAAAAAATGAGATATTTTGACTTGAACAAACAGGAGATAACTCTAATATTAGAATTTGTAATTACTGAATTAGGAATTCATATTTTCAATGAATCAATTTCCATATCACCATATTCCACTCCATTTCCGTACCATTCATATAATATAGAATTTTTATAAAACATTCTATGTAACGACAGCTTCCGACATTTTTTTTAATCGGTTTATTGTAATAGTTCAGTTTAACATTTAATACCCAAAAATAAATATAACATAACTTAAAAAAATTATAAGTTGTATTTTGCCAGTTCGTCTCAACTGAAGTAGCTAGTCGAACTGGACGGTAGAGATTGTATTAAAATTATGATGTACGCAATTATGAGTTTGAGTTTAATAACAACGTAACGGATTAAATTTTTGTTACATGATAGTCCTAAAATTTGCATGGATGATTTTAATAAATTCTCACTTATAGAAACTCGAGAGCTCAATGCTACATTTGGGACCAGTCTGCTTCTCGCCAACAGTCCTATGAGTCCGAAAATAGTGAATGGTACTCATGCAGCTATCTGTGATTATGAACAAGTGCTAACATCTTGCGCACAGACTTTCGCACAATTAAAAATGGAGCCGAAGGACAGTCCTGGTGAGTGTATTCATTCATTCATGCATGCCTGCACTATTTTGTATCTTTAAATCTGAAAATAACCTCTATATTCTAGGTAATCTTTAACACAAGATCCATTTATACCAAGGTAACCTTGGGACAGAGCCAATGTGTTGATTAACAATTTTTGATTTGGTTTACACAGTTTAAAATGTTTAATGCGCAGCGATATAACGCTAACTTTTCATAAGTATTTTGCTATAACAATGCTTTCATGATCTTAGAAATTGAACATTTATTCCGCTTAACATAAAGTGCCTTTACTAAATGACTATGCAATTATCATATTTCTTTTTGTCTTATAGATTCTTTTAGTATCATTATTTATTGCTACGTTTATAACTAAATCTATTACTTCCTACAGCTACAAATAATACATGTACTCCTTCTCTTTGTGACTTTTGCTGTTGGGCTTTTCATTAAATTGTATTAATCTCTGTAATTCTACTGAGTCTTCTCTGATTTCTTCTTTGCATTATACATGGTATCATGGGTTGACTAGTATATAATTACCATTATCTTCCATTTTACTAACACTACTAACACAACAGAGATGCGCCGACGCATCCGTGGCATCAAAATGTGCGGTAAGAAGTTCTCGCTTGATTCCTGCATGGATATGGTGCAGGGTCTGATGATGGAGCAACCATTGCCTCTTTGTTCTGAGGATATGGAGGATGTTTCAAATGGTAGGTATTGCTAATAGATTTTAAAATCGATACAGTTGTCGCTTATTAAATTCAATGACATATAATATCACCAAGTGGAAATTCTATACAAAGATAATTGGAAACTTATTCAATAATTCACCTATTTCTACCGCTGTATTCCAGTTTGTAAAGTCCGACAGTTAGTTACTGGGTACTGGGATCTTCATTAGACAGTGTAAAATAAAAATTGCTACTGATTGTTTGTTATTGGATCGAAAGTAGAAGAAATTGATGCTACTTACCATGAAGCAGACCCAAGTGTTTGTCTTAACTATACATGTTTATTTGAGAGACGCGCAATAAAGTATATATGGTTCCTAAGAATATAATCAGAACCGCCTTTTGTAGCAATATATGGAATCTTTATTAAACAGTTGCAATAGTGATGCTGTAGAAACTTTTGTTTTGAACAAAACATAGTCAACACACAACAACACATAGTCAAACATAGTAATTTTCTATAACATAGTAAAGTTTGAATAAGATTTGGTTTGTCGTTTCTCCATTAAAACCTTCTTCCATTAAAAGGCTTCTTGAGAATTTAATAATTAATAAAATACTGAGTATAAAAAAAAATTTCGTTTGCTAAGTATATTAAAATGATGTATGAATTTTCTAGAACATGAATCCGAAGTTGTTGGTGGCCTACATTAAATCTGAGGTAATGATACCAACATTTTGGTGATGGGTACATTTAGTTAACAAAACCATTCCTAAGCATAAAAATATAAGCGCAATTTACAACGAAAGAGGTGCGTCGTGTCGATTCTGTAATAATTATAAATTGCATTATGAAGAGTCATCCATGTTCTATGGAATTAACACAGCCTAAATAGATTTATAATCGTATAAGTTGCATGCAAATATGAGTTTTAAATTACTGGAAATAGAATTGCATATATGATGACTTGAAATTGGTGTATTCCAAAATGAACTCCAGTCCACTCCCCTCGATAAATGCATTTCGTTGTACTGTACTGTACTCAATAACATAGTCAAAACTACTAACTACTATTATTAACAACTAAATGTAACAATTGAATTCTGCAACATAAATATTGCATTTGTTCATAAAATCTTTTATATCCAGGATCGAGTCCTGGCGAAAGATCATCCCTATCATTATCACCAGTGACATCCAGCGGCACAATCAAGCAAGACTCAAATTCGGACTCGAACCAACTACAAGTACCTCCAACGCCATCTAGACAATACAGGTCAAAATCTGTTGACGTATCACTTACTGGTCTGAGGCTCGATGATGCAAAAATAACTATTGACATGAAAAATAGTGAAATTATAATTACACCAACTGGATCCAAAAGTATTCATGATGGTATAGATCAGAAAGCTGTATTAAGTGATATTGAAGAGAAACTCAACATAGGTGATAAAATTACGCAAGCATTTGAGAATTTTCAAGATGGTTTGCAAATGTTAAGCGAATATCGACAGAATAATGTAGAGGAGACTGAAAGTAAATCGGATGATTGTAACGCAAAATTAACTATTAGAGGTCCGGGTAGTTATATTAAGAAGTTGATACAGCAATTCAGTGAAGGTCCATTTGAAACTGAGGACTCTAAGCCTGAATCTGATAGAGGTATATCAACTCAGTCTATCCGAGATAAAGCCGATGCGATTTGTAAAAAATGCTTGCATTATAAAGGGAAAATATCGAAGTAATCAAGTACTGATAAAATAACACTCTTTTTAGAATTGTACTTATTTTGATGTAGCTTCACCAGATTCTCTAAACAAACGGAATATATAACGACTGAACATCAAGTTCCACCCGATACGACTTTACTTTTAGGGCACCTCTAGGGATTCGAACGTCAGCTCAGGCCGTGTAGTATCATATAAAATATATCCATTTATAAAGTCCCGATTAATAATAGTAATAAACCAGGATAAATCACGCGGCGCCATCTAGTCCCAAACTAAGCAGAGCTTGCAGGACGAATTTTGACTAATGAGCATCCACAATTTCTTTGTAATCATTAAAAAAAAAGATATATTTAGTGTTTTAAAAGTATATAACTTTGCTAGAAGTAAGTAGCTTTGCTGTTATAGCATTTAGTAAATAATTATTAACATATTCATGTTATATACTTACCGAAATGTGTATTTAGCAATAATATTATATAGATAAATAAATAATCAATATTAGATTGTATAAAAATGTATTTATCATAAATAATTTATATATAAATTAATAGTGTATAAATTATTTATAACTGTTTCTTTTATTAATATTTTACTATTAGCGCTTTTTTATTCTCTTGAAAGTCATTTTTTCTTCCTAAAATGATAAAATATATAAAAAAAAATGCGGTGTGGTATTAGTATTTTCGCAATTTTTGAAAGAAACATTATTTATTATGGATTTTACTTATACATATTTTAGAATTATCTTGAAATTATATATAAATTATAATGTAAGAAATAAAAATAACATACCTATCTTTATTAACCAATAATCACATTTAAAAATCTGTATATTATATAATGGCTTAAATGGTGATATATTCGTTAGAATAGTATTGGTTATATATAATATACATATGGAGTTCTTTATATATATTATACATATATATAATTACTATATAGATATTCTTATGGCATGTGTTATATAAGAAAATGTATAAATTGTATTTATTTATAAATACCTGCACAATGTTAAGTTAGTTTTGTGAATTTTGTAAATAGTATTATTTACACATTATTAATAGATAATCCTATTTTCTGTATATGTATATATTAATATATATATAGATTTATTTCATAAAAAACGAGTAGATGATGATTTAGATTTATATTATATTAGTAATATAATTATTAGTTAGTTATATTAGTAGTATAATTTGGTTTGTGTTCTTTAAACTTATGATAAATGAATTGACATTACAAAAGAATATTTTTTTATATAGTTTAAAAATTAATTATTTTTTTTATTCTTTTAACAGATAATATAAACACTTTCAATATATTGGTAAAATGTAAGTAGATACAGTAACGTGATGTTGTATGTAATATATTTCTCTTTCATATTATATATGCAATTGCTTAGATTGTTAATTAGTACTGTAATCGTAATATATATATACTGCTGTGCTAAATCAATAATATATAATATTATATATCAATATACATATCTTTACACTAAAGGGCAACTATTATACATATATATATATATATATTTATTATTTATTTTAGGATGATAATGAAATGGTGCACCCGCCTGCGCTAACGGCTTACGCTGGCGGGGCACCAGTGGAGGATGATAATATGAAAATGTGGTCAGGTCATTCCACCGTTGCAAATTCACCAGGAATTTATCACGGTTTCCATGGGAAAGCACGTGTAGGTCAACATTACTAACAATCCTTTGCCCCCAAAATGATCATTTATGTTGAGGTTATCATCTCTTCCACTGGTGTTTTGTATGCTCTTCCTGAATAAGATCTTTTTTGGTATTTTGGGAATGAAAAGTAGTGGTGTTATTTTGTATTCTTAGAGCACTCATAGTCCTAAAATTGGAGATTATAGCAGTGATTTTAAGGCCTTGTCTGGATGGAGTAGGCAATATATGTATAAATTTTTAATCTATAAATATTATATAAAACTTTATGAAATATTGATCAAGTGATATTCATTTATGTATTATATAAATTGTTAATACATAATGTATAATTTAGATTACTAAAGTATAAATTAAATTTATGTTTTTAATTTCGAACATATATAATGTTTGCTCTTAATTAGCTACGAATATTCTCATTAGTTTAAAAAAAAAAGTATAATATATAAAAATATTTTAAATTTAGATTCTATATTAAAATGTATAATTACAGAATTTGTAGGCATAATGATAAACGTAGACACAAAATGGCATAAATGTATTGAGGTTTAGAAATAAATGCATAATATAAATAATGGCAAATTAAACTGGTCTTTTATTTCTGTAAATTTAATATAATATTTAATTTCTTGACGGACCTTGAACTTGAGTAGTCTAGCGGTTTAGAACTCCGCCTTACTTCCTAAAGTCGCCAGTTCGATTCCTCACAGTAAAAGCATTGGTGTGTATGAGTATGATTGTCTGCGTGTTTTCTATGTATATTTTGGATGTAACAGTTATCCCCATAAAACCAGTTCTGATTAGCATGGAACTAGATGACGCTGTGGGAATTATTCTGGGGTTATTATTATATTATTATTATTGTCTATTTATATTATTGAGCGGAGCATGAAGTGCGGAGAAATCTTAGAGATCAGATTAACACTCTTTGTAACGATACTCCTCCGAAACGGTTGACCAATCAAGACCAAAATTTAGTCTAAGGTTGAATTTCGGGCCTCCATCGTTTACTAATAAAAAAAATCTGATCTGAAGGTCGGGTTTTTAAAAATTAATGCGCTCCGTTCAACATGTGGCCTGGTGTGTAAACATCTAGTATTATTTCATATTGTTTTCTAATTTAAAAATAAAATATTGATATATCTGGATTATGAATGTCTTTGAAATTTCACTCATTAGGTAATAATAATTTAAGAAATCAACACAATCGTGGGGATAGGTAAGGTAGTAAAGGTTGTGGTTCTTTTCTCATTTCGTTCTTACATCTGTTATTTACCAGAGTAAGATTTTATATACTTCCTCGCAGAGATATCTTGCCTCTTTCTGTCACTAACAAAATATTATAGCGCAGTGGTTATCACCTCAACACTGTAGCGTTATACATGATGTGATGAGGTGTCGCTATATAATTTATATTTTCATTGTATTGTATGTAGATAGTAAGTATACAGGTAAAATAATTGTACTATTTAATATATATTAGTAATTATTTGGTAGTGTGTGTGTCTACATGGCTTATTAGTAACGCGTACATTCGATGCGGAGTCGTAATGTGGACTTTACACTGAACTTAAATCTATGATCTAGAGAGGTATTAATGGAAGGTCTCGAGTGTTGACAGAAATATTACAATGTATGTAGAATATCATAGGGAAGGGTCAAAGAAATAATATATAACAATCTGTAATTAGAATATTTAATAAATGCACAACAAATATAAACATTTACTTATTGTTTACTTGAGCGATCCATAATTCTGCATTTTAATACTCAAATAACAAGAAAAAAATAACAATATACATTTGAGCAACATATGTGTATGATAAATAATTATATTTAATGCATTTAACATGATAAATAATAAATAAATAAATTTTATACATTTTCTAAATTCAGTCTTATACACTAACTTACAATTAATTATATAATAAATAAATGCATTTAATTTACAAATTACACTATGCAATAATATACATTTTTTTGTATATTACAATTCTCGCAATTGTATACATTAAGCTCTTATTTATTATTAAATAGAGAGCTGGTATTGAGTTAATAAACGAATTTTTATACATTTCTTCTAGTATATATAATTTATTTATTAAATATATTACGGCGAAATAATATTAATGAAAACAGTAGAGTGGTTAATAAATTAGTGTTACTAAATATATTCTATATTTAATATTTCGTAATTGTTTTATATTTGAAATAAAACTGTTGAAAATAATTACTTAAAAGAAAGAGAAACATATGTAATTATTATAAATTAAAATGAACTCTATTATAATTAAAATACTGAACATTTTTTAAAATTATATATTTATTGAGAGGTGGGGGATTCTATTTAAAAAACACTAATTTCGAATGTTCTAGACAATTTAAGCTTTAATGTACTGTAAAGCAAATCCTAATCAGATAGTGGAATTTGATGTATAAATTAAAAGCCTTCAAAATCGGTCATAATGAGTGAAGTTATGAAGTTGTATGATGCAATTATTTAAATATTGTAAGAATGGAAGCCAATGGCACTTAGTTCTCTCTGCCTACCCCCTACGGGTAATGGTGTGGAGAGAAAGAGCCAATTTTTAGATGATCTATATTTTATAAATACATCATTATATATAGAAAAATACTAAACCAATACAAACAGTTCCTATAAATAGAAATGTTTGTATTGTGTGGAATCGAAAGCGACTGTTGGAAGTAAGGTGATGTGTTAAATTGTTAGACCACCTGGTGGTAAGTGGTAACCGTCGCCTATATACATGAACTGCAACATGCATACAATATAATCATGCGACATCAGTGATACCACTCATAAGTTGTTTTTCCAGAGGACATATCTCCATACCTTGTAATTTCACTGTATTATCACACCTTCAGCCGAAAAACATCTTACAAGCATACAAACAAACAGACAAACTCGTCCTTTTTAGTACATTAATATGAATTGGAGGTTATCTATATTCTTTATTTTACAAAAAAACTAATTTTGAGTCAACCATTTTTTTTGGTTAGGATTTTCCCTTCGCCGGGAAAGGTAAAGTGTCTTAGCTTGTACAGCCATTTCTTTCATAAGTCAACGAAATTAAAGACATTTTGATACTAATACAATAACGTCAAAAGTCTTCTTTCCTCAGGTATTCAACCCTATTGAAGTTACAAATAGTCATTGGGGATCATTCCGAAATTATCTCACACACATTTCACGATTACCTGACCCCTCTCCCGTCCTGGGACACCTGGTCACATTTGGGGATAGTACCCTCCCTAGTGTGACGTACCATCTTTTGCAATTTAGCTCTACTAAACCGGGTATAAATTTTTTCTACGAATCATTAATAAAAAGTTAATATCCTTAATAAGATATTTAAGTTTTTATTAATGATTCAATCACCATTTGCTTCTTCCTTATCCCATTTATTTGGAGTCGGCGTAATTAATGATTCAATATTAGTGTATTAATACTTTGAAATGTGACATGACTAAATGCGATATTTAGGACACTTTCCATTCCTTGTCACAAAATGTCATTCTTTCTCGACCCCTTTCTGCCCCTAAAATGTGTGACATAATTTATGAATAGCCCCTTAATTATTTTTTAAAGACTGTATTGGTAACATCGGCAAAGGAATTGACTGACTCGTGTATCAAATACTACATAAAGATGGTAACGATATCATCAATGTACACCAGTGACACTCTTCAGCCAGGGTTTGTAGAATGTAGTCCTCATGTAGACTCCTGGAAGGTAGGGAGCAGCGCACTTGATGCCGTGCGATACGGTACCAACCAGCTGCCATCTGCCGTCATCCCGCTGCAGAACTAGTGGACCACCACTGTCACCCTGAAATGTTAAGAAATTGGAGATGAGGTTGGTGATAAATGGAAAATGAAAAAGAGAAAAATTCATAATTACTTGACCCTTTTCCGTTCTAGTGTGACGGTTTTACTCTAGTAAACTGAGTGTAAACTCGCCAACAAAACAATTTAAACCTTATTTTTATACTGGTCATCAAAATTCCTCATTCAATTATACTACTGTTACTACTACTAATGTTATCCCCTAAGAATTTCCTAATATTATCCTCTCAGAAATTCCTAAAATTATACCAATATACTAACTTCACAAGAATCCTTCTCTCCGTTCGCATATCCTGCACATATGAAGGACTTGAGGATATTCTTGAAGTGGCCAGCGGTCAAGAACATCTCCTGGCATGCGGCATTTTCTATCACAGGCACCTGGAAAATTTATAATAAAAATTGAATACATCATAAAACTAGTTTTATCCTGCAGTGCTGTCTCGAGCAGTGCTGTCACATACCACAGGTGCAGTTACCATCAGGTGGACGTCACTTTATTTGGCATTATAGTTATTAAAAAAATAAAATAAATGAATGATTGCATTTGCATTTCGTTGTTGTTTTGTGAATCATGATTGTTAGGTGTTTAGAAACAAAAATATATTTCAGTATTCAAATCAGTGGTCTAGTATCCATAACACAAGCTCTGGTTAATTGTGTGAATTGTCATGTAGTCCCAAATATTATTGTTATTATAACATTTTTTTTATATTTTATCAACTATTAATTAATTTTATTGCTTGTAGTAATATTACACTGTCGTTTATTATAAACTCATCGAATGAACAATCGAATCACATGAAAAAATCGATCGATGAATTATTTTTTAACTTCGTTTTTGAAGTTGCATAGTATAATCTTACTAAAATAAATAAATTAACTATATACCTGGACTTCTTGTAACACAGTCGGCACACCCCCGCCGTACTTCAGTCGTCCCCAACCCGTCACTGTTGCCATTCGTCCGGTAAAGTCAGAATCGTCCGGTGGCATGCATATTGGTACTGTAACGTATAGTAAAAAGAATTAATATTATAAACGAAAAAGTTTGTAAGTACGGATGGACGTTAGTTACTCTTTCACGCTAAACTAAATTACTGAACGGATTTTGATGAAACTTTACGGTAATATAGCTTATACATAAAAATAACATATAGGTTATATATTTCACGTGGGTAAAACCGCGGGCACAGTTGGTGTATACTATATTAACGGATAAGGAAGACGTCATTCAGTCTGAAAAAGCAGCGCCATCTATCGGGTAAAATAGTATTTTCAAGTAATCCGGTAACAAATTAAAATTGTATTATAAATATACATTAATCTTGTTTTCTGTTCTTAATAATCTGTAAATGTTAAATTAAGGGATCTTTAAAGTGTCAGTAAGGTTTTTAGTAACAAATGAATGTAGTGGGTAGCGTAGGTACATATACAAACATCTAGTTGCTTGTAAAAATACTGTATAAAAATTCTATTACTCTTTACGAGAATGTATATTACATTTAATATCTTTTTTAATAATATTTTCTTTATAAGCCAATAAGTTAATAATTTTACATTATGATATTACGGCGAACCACACACTAGATATGCAGATCTATATCCAGTTGGTGGAATTCAGTACAACTTTATGAGTGACTATATTTGATGTTCTCATTATTATTTTGTAAATTAAGATGTAATTTGTGTTTGTGAACTAGTATATAATTGTAATGTCTTCTGATTATGAGGTGTACAAAAAAAAAACAAAAATCTACTAACCAATATGTGCATCAAACTTAACAGGCGTTTCCAATTCGAGCAGAGCGAGATCGTTCTCGAAGGTTGCAGCATCGTACTGCCGGTGTACGATCACACGTCTCACGTTCTTAGAGATGGGTCTTCTGGGTTCCTTATCTCCTGATATGTCATTCTCCCCGAAGACTGCTACTAGGGAGGCCAGGAATCTGAAATTTAATATTTTTAATTTTATTTTATCATATATTTTTTCTACTATCCAGTTCAGTATACAGATTATCTTACCAATTTTAAGAACTGGCAAGAAATTATATATTAGATTGTATAAATATTATCTATAAATACTACTAGAAAAAATATTCTATTGTCTATATGGACGACCATAATTATATATGGTACCATATATAATTATGGTTGTAGAATATTTTTTCGTCGTCCATCAAAATTATTTATTATTTTTGGGTATTTTTTTTTTAAATTATATGGCATTAAAAATACACTACTACATTTTCACTAGCGATATTAGTAGTTTAAATTTATATGGCAAAACAACGTTTACGGGGTCAGCTAGTAAAATTATGTATTTTTTTTATTATTAACTGCATCGGTGTGCTAGCAGTTTATAATAACATTTGTATTCATAATAATAATAATATATCTCAGGACAATCACACAACGTTATCTAAGTCCAAGCTAAGCAGAGCTTGGGTTGTGGGTACTAGATAACTAATATAAATATGTATAGATACACTTATTTTCAACATACATAGTATACATAGAAAACACCCAGTTCGATACAAACAAATTACTCATGAATACAAATGTTTGTACCATGCAAGAAATCAAATAACACAAGCTCTTTTTAGCTTGGAAATAGATAATACGCTGTGAATTGTCCAGGCTTATAATTATTTACTACTCTATTCTATTCTATTCTATTATACCTCTATTAGATTATTACGACCGTATTCCTCGCACGGTACAAACATTTATACTCATGTTTGTTTGTATTGGTCTGGGTGTTTTATATGTGTACTATGTATGTATTTACAAAAAAAAAAATCTATGTATATGCATCAGTTATCTAGTACCGATAACACAAGCTCTAGCTAGCTTAACTTGGGTCTAGATGGCTCTGTGTGAATTGTCCTGAGATTATTATTTTTTTCCAAATATTCTCTCTCTTTCAGCTTTTAGAAGCACAGTGGTTTTCTCCACACTTACGGGCCAGAGAAACCAAGTAATGCGTGCAGAGTGTGTATATGTGTGTGCGTGAGTGTGTGTGTACTTATTGTGTGCCTGGTGTGACTGGTGGTATATCATATTCATCGATTTCGGTGGAGAAATTTTCGGACTGTACGACAGTTATTATTATTATTATTATTATATACATACTACATACCCAGGCTGACAGTGCGCTGCAGTTGTCACGAATTTGTTCGTTATCAGTACTCCACCGCATTTATTCTTCGTGAATAGTCCCAGCCATGTTGATTCCCTGACCAACACTTGCCAGGGCCACTCACCGAATTCTGCGTTCTTGCCGCCGACGATCCGACCTGACTTGACAAGTGGTCGGACACCACACACTGAAATAACGTAAAATATATGTGGATTAGTATAATATTGTAATATATGGCTATTATAACTATATTTCATTATATTCATAACATTAATACTAGATTTAAAGACAAACTTGCTGTTCCTAAGTGTCGTTTACAAAGTCAATAGGACTTTTATGGTAATGAGAATAAAAAATTACAATAGTATACAGAATATATTGGAATTACCCTTAAATAAATTCAAAACATTTTTTAAATCATATTTATTGAGCGATTACTTGAATGACGAGCGTGCATGGCAATAGTTGTTCATGCACGGGATTTTCATTTAATGTTAGACATAGACAGACACCTATATAAATACCTATGTATTGTAAATAAACTGGCTTTTAAAAAAAATGTTATTTAATTGAGTTTCTTGCCAGTTCTTCTCAATTGGATATATATACCGAAGTGGACGGTAGGGAAAAAAATAAAATTATAATGTAAAAACTTGACGTTCATAAGCGGCTAAAATGTCCTGTATAAATAAATGTTTTTTGAATTTGAATTTGAATTTAAGCAAAGCCTCACTAAACTCACTAAACAATTATTTGAATGATGTGTGCGTCCGTGCACGACAGTAGTTAGTTGTTCATGCACGGGATTTTCATTTAATGTTAGACGTAGACACCTATATGAAAAAAAAATAGTTAATAACCAGCCTTTTAAAAAAAAATCAGTTGAGTTTTTTCACAGTTTTTTTTTCAATTAAATCTGAACAAAGAAAAAATTATAATATAAAAATTTGACTTAGGCGACTAAAGGAATTTGGCTTCACGTTGTCTGTCTGCACCTATATATGTTGTGATCTTAAAAACTACGCGGATTTTGATATTTTTTTTTTAATAGACAGAATAGATAAAGTGACTCAGAGGAAGATTTAAGTTATATAACATTTCAGGTTATTAATAAAATTCTAATTATATTTAATTTGTGAAAATATCATTGCTGTATATTATGACTTGACGTATATGTAATGAAGTTTTTTACATTGCTCAATAAACGAAATAAAAATATTTATTTACATATATACTGGAAAAGTCAGATGTGGCAGCATTAGAATAGTTAAAAAAAAAAGACATTCAATCGTCACTAGTTAAGTATAATAATAATAATAATGCTTTATTTGTACAACCACAAGATTACAAAATTAAATAGAAGAGTACATAATAGTTAAATTTCATTAGCTAGGTAATCAATGGCAGAAAGTTGTGCAATACAAAATGAAGACCCTAAGTAGACTGAAACCTAAGCTAACCTTATGATTTTTAGTACGGTATGCATTGTATTTGATTAATTATAGCAAAAGTTTCATAAGGATTGGTGAATTTTTTTATTTATAGGCTATTCCAGTGCTGTAAATTTAAATGTATTTAATTTAGAAGAATTAAGCTGAACTAACAATTAATTATTTATTGTAATCTTAAACTCTTAAAGAGAAAAAAACTTACGATTTTTGTCGTTGTAGTCTATGGTAGTGTCGCGGTACGGTTCTGTCGTGATTTCATCAGCTTGCTCCGTGATGGTGGTGGTTGGTTGTGTAGTTGTCACCTTCTTCGTCGGTTTGGCCCTTCTCGTGGTGGTCGCCTGTAAATAATACAATCACATACACGGGACAAGTATCTACACATTTCTTTTCTTCACACGTAATATCAATAGACCTATTTATTTTATATGATCAAGTCAAAGCAGCGGTAGGCGGTCCACTCCACGAGTGTAACTTTTTTTCGGACTACTCTAATGCTGTTGGCTGCAGCTGGCCGCAGCTGGCGAATGTAGATGGCACTGCAAACCCCCGGAAGGACTTATGAGCGGCTGAAGGCCAACTCCCGCCTGACGGATACGATTTTAGTCTGAGGGCACTGCTAGGGGTTCGAACCTCGGCTCAGGCCGTCGTAATTTCGATTCCTGTTTGATATGGACAGGGGATCGATCGGAGGGTATAGAATGGCAGCCAGTAGGGAGAAATGGCGAGCCGTCGTAGGGCGGATGACATCTGCCTCTCACTCTACTACATAATGACCATGACTGTTCTGTCAACAGTGTATCGAATAAGAAGAATATTTTTTTTTATTTGACGGCCTCGGTGGTCTAACTGTATAGCCACTTTACTTCCGATGATCGCGGGTCTGATTCCTCGCACAGTACAAATATTTGTATTCATAAGTATGATTGTATATGGATGTTTTCTATGTATAGTATGTATGTATTGACAAAAAAATTATATATGTATTTATTTTATATAAGTTGTCTAGTACCCATAACACAAGCTCTGCTTAGTTTAGGTCTAGATGGCGCTGTGGAAATGTCTTGAGTTATTATTATAAATATTAAATTGACCTTCCATAAATGTCTTCAATATAATATTTGAATTAGAAATCTATTTCGAAACTATTACAATGGAATGTGTTAGTCATATAAACCAAATCCGATAGATTTTGTATTTCTTACGTCAGTATTAACTTTCTTAAATATGTTTTGTTATACACTATATTTAAGAACTAACTTCTGCCCACAAATTCGCTTGCGTTATTATTATTGATTAGAATAGAAAGTAGCTTGTCTATTTTTAAGTTCCATGTATATGATATCTTTCTTATGATTTATCTATATTAATAATACAAATATGTAAATTTTGCGAGTTTGGATTTTCGGGAGAATCTTTGATATTACTAACCCGATTATGCAAATTTATTGTTGGATAGCTTACTTAATGAGGAAGGCTATAAGCTATGGCTAACAGGAGAATGGCTACATTGAAAAAGACACAAATTTAGTGAACATACAAACAAAATTAGTTTCGCATTCATAACTTTTTAGCAAAGACTTCAAAATTACAAAAATTACCAACTTAATTATTTGTTATTGAAAAAAATAGATACTTACCGGTTTTTTAGGAGTAGTTGTCTGAGGAGCAATGGTAGTAGTTCTTCTAGCTATTGTCGTCAATCTCGTAGGTTTCTTTGTAGTTCTCACCGGTTTTCTGGTTGTAGTTGTCAATCTAATCGGTTTTCTAGTCGTCGTTGTCAATCTGACTGGTTTTCTTGTCGTAACTGGAGGTTTTCTAGTAGGTTTCGGCGTAGTTGTTCTAGTATTTATCGATGTAGCGTTTGTCTTTTTATCTAATATTACAATGTCGTGTAATTCTTGGAAAGTACCTTGTAGGCTACCGACTATCTTATTAACAAACAAATTCATCTTTTCATTTAATTTATCATCATCCTGCCATGATGGCGTTGTAAAATCGTGATAGCTTTCTATCTCATCATTTGATAATGTTATACTAGTATTGTACATTAATGGATTTGAACCTGTTGCGTTAAGCATTGGATTTCTAACTGGAGGGAAATTAATCAAATCATCAGGAGATGTTTGCAATTCAGGTCGTATGGTTGTTGGAGAATAATATTCAGTGTATGAATCAAATGTTGGGCCCGTAATAGAAATAGGTTTAGTAGATGCTTTCACAGGGTATGGTGTAGTATTTGGAGTTGGTTTAGGAGTAATAAGTACAGTAGGAGATGACGGTCTGTCGTATTTTTGTGGAGGTTTACCTACAAATATGTTATTCGTCGATTCAATATTATTATTTACTGTTATTTGACTAACCGGCTTCTTGAATGGTTCTTGACTAATTTCTACGAACTCTGGCTCTTGCACTTTTGTAGATGTCTCTGGTTTTGGAGTGTGTAAACCATTTAGAACTATAACAGTTGGAGTTACGCTTGAGAATGTATCTCCAGCATCGTAACTTGAAATAATACTTGACGGTGAAGTTACAGGCCTTCTTGAAGGACTTGCTCCAGTGACGTAACTTGTAGATGGAGGTTTTCTAGTAGTAGTAGTTGGCATTGGTGTCGTAGTAGAACTTACATAGCTAAATGTTGTAAGTGATTGTCCAAAATTGTCAGGGTTCGTTGGATATTTACTGAAAGCTTCATATGCTTGACTAGTGGAAAGACTAGGTATGGGTGAAGAATATTGAGGTTTTGTTACAATTTTATCTACTTCAGGTATACTATTAGGTGTAGTAAAGTATGGCTTCTTTGTTGTATATGGTTTCTTTGTGTGGTATGCAAAAGTAGTGCTATATACACTAGCGCCGGGTCTAACTGTTACGAAATGACCTGGAGACACATAATAATTATATGTTGGAGTGGGTGACGATTTATGTTCTAAAATATCAGATGACGGCGACGTAATATCGTCTTGTAAACTTGGTGTACTATCATTCAACATCTGTATTATACTGTTGATAGAAGAAAGCTCTGGAACTTTCTGACTATCCTTCGTTACCGTCGATATCATTACATAATTTTCTGTACTACTTTGTGTTGTATTTTTCTTAAAAGGCTTTGGTTTGAATATTGGCTTTGAATAAATTGGATGATGAGTTGAAACCGTCTTAGGTGGTGAAGTTGACGTTGACATTGGTGAAATTGTTGGTTTAGTTTGCATTGATGATATTTGTATATTAAAATCTGAAGGTCTGACAATATTATCTGCAATCGAACCATTCTTATGATAGAGTATAGTATCAGCTATATTATGATCTATTGTACTATGAGTGTATATTCCTCCAGGTCTTTCAGGTTTAATATAAACGTCATTTTTGGGTGGAGAATTTAATAATGTATTAGTAATCTGATTAAATCCTTCAGATATTAATTCTTGTGCTTCACTGACTTTATCTTCAGGTTGGATGGTAGATGAAACTGGATTTCTATCAGGCTTATAGCCTGGTGTTACTACAGGTTTGAAGCTATTATGCCAAGCGTTCAATTGTTCAGCTTCATAATCAGCTGTTTCTGATTCTGGATCTGGATAATCCAAGTAACTTGTCATGACAACTCCTGGCCCTTTTGGTATATGGGATTGGCTATCACTTTTTAGTTGACAGCATGCTCCAAATAAGAATCCATCCATGCACGCTCCAACCACTTCTCCTTTACGTTGCATGCATTCATGGTTGAACATGCATATTGTATTACCTCTGTTGTATTTTGCTGTTCTTGTTGCTTTGCAATATGTCGGTGTTATTCGATAGCCGCCGAACAATTTTGTTGCATCTGGAAATTAAATACAGTTCATATTAGTTTATAACAATTATAGAGCAATAATTAGTTGGGAATAAAATTGAGAAGAAATGGAGATCTTCTAGAAAGATCGTTAGGTAATTTATCAGAGTTAGACTGTAAAAAATCGTCTGCATGAGTATATCATTCTTACATATACCAGCCGTGAAGCGTCTTGCTTTGTAAATTGTTTTCACATCACATTAGGCGGTGAAATTACAGGATAAGACGAGTAACATCATAGTGCTATAGTATGATATCAATGGTGCTCGACAGTTACCGCTTACCATCAGTTTATCATTTTTTTTTGCCATTCCAATATAACTGTTGCTTTAACCAATTTACTGGCTACAGTGACTATTGGCTTATTACACTGGTACCAGAGACTGTAGACTGTTTTTTATTAGTCAGAATTCTTTGAACCACGAATGTGTAACTAGACTATTTGGAGATGAATCATACAAATATGTATATTTTGGTTTGTTGCTATCACCTGCATTGACACACTTCTAGAGGAAGTGGTTCTAAGTTTAACTACATTTCTTATTTTACTTTGCAATTTTTATAACATACTTGTGAGTAGTTCTGACTGCGTAGCGTCTCCATCATATAAATGAATGAATTTTTCTATATATTGTACTATTTATATATAAAGTTTTTTGATGATTGATTCAATCGTTAAAACGTAAAAAACAAAAAGATGCATATTTATATTTAATTAAATTCCGACGCAAAAAAGACTATTTAAGGTTTGACTTGTCTATGTACCTATCTGTGTAAGTATCTGTTAAAAGACATATTTTAAATGGCTCTTAGCTACAATTTCATTTTGCTTTCGGCAAATATTGTGATTTATTCGTTGTACTAAAATGTAATAAAATACATATATCATTATAATAAAATCGAATGAAAACTCTCAAGTAATAAAGATATTACAGCAATCTGTAGTTTACGAGGCAATAAATGATTCATTCCATTTTATACTTGGACCTACTTTAAAAAGAGATTATATTGATTATCACAAGTATGTGAGTAATTCAGTTGAAATCAAATTTATATAGTTATTCGTCATATACAGTACGTGTGAGAGATTGCATTTATATGCCTCAATTAGAAAATAATAATAATGAAAGTAGGTATTGAAATAACTTGGTCTGTATGACCGGTAACTCTAAATTACAAACGAAGTAAAATAAAAAATAAATATAGATATAATCTTTATTCAATTAATAGAAGCACTTTTGAATAGTCATATTTTTATAATGTATAATAATAATTACTACGAACAATTGACACAAAATCATCTAGTCTAATGCTAATAATATGAGTACTAAATGACTAATAGAAATGCTTAACAATTTTTATATAATATAACTACAAAAGGTCCAGACCAATTGTATGTATTGGAAACATTGAAATTTTTAGGAATGTAAACATTTATACTGTACAAGGAATCGAATCGAGGGTGCATCGAAAGTAATGTGGTATGCTAAACTTTTAGACCACCTAGACCTAAATAAAGCAATTTATTGTACAATACAACATTTTAGGACAACACAGCACCATCTAGTCTCAATCTAAGTAAAGCTTGTGTTATGGGAACAAGAGAACTGATATAGATACATAGGTAATTTTTTTTGTACATACATACATATGTATATTACATTGTAAATACCCAGACTGATACAAACAATCATATTCATGAGTATAAATGTCTGTACCAAGTGAGAAATCGAACCCATGGAAATAAAGTAAGGTAAGCCAAACCGCTAGACCACCGAGGTCGTCATACCAATTACCAATCTACTACAAATGTTTATATGATATTCAGTGTTGATTTATAAAAGACTACTAGATCATAGTACAGTACATTTGCCTAAATATACAGACACAATAACCGTTAATTCTATTAGTATATATTTACTCAACTAAGTTTACTTTATATGTTGGTTTTAATTGAATTCATACAATAACACAGTTACATGTACAGTATACATACTTTTAAGTAGATTTATGTTATAGTATTGCATTATATCAAAAATGTTAAACGCACACATTATAAAAAAAAACTATGTTAAGAGACTGATTTAAAAAGAAATGTTAAGTTTTATCTCAACAAAAGTAGCTAGGCGACGGGATGGTAGGGATAATGAAAACAAAATAACCCTGGATAATTCACATTATTGTCAATTGAAATAGCTAAACGAACTGGATGGTAGGGATCATGAAAAAGAAAAAAAATAACCCTGGACAATTCACACAGTACCATCAAGTGACATGTTAAGCAGACCTTGTATTATGGGTACTAGACAACTGATGTAAATACTTTTTTTTTTGTAAATACACTTAAATTTGTGTAGCCGTAAAAACTAACTGCGGCCAATAGCATTGGAATAGCTAAAAAACAAAAAGGTAAATCTTACTAATATTATAAACAAGAAAGTTTGTGAGTATGGATGGATGTTTGTTACTCTGTCACGCAAAAACTACCGAACGGATTTTTATAAAACTTTACAGTTATACAGCTTATACATCAGAATAACATATAGGCTATAATTTAAGAGGATATTAGTTAAATTGGGTGAAATATAATAAGTGTGATGCAGACGAAGGAGCACGGGTGAGCTAGTACATAATATAAATAGAAAACACACAGATCAATACAACAATACAATATATCATACTCACGAATACAAATGTTGGTATCGTGCGAGGAATCGAACCTGGGACCATCGGAGTAAAACGGTGTGCACGCAGATCAATACAATATATCATACTCATGAAAACAAATGTTTGCATCGTGCGAGAAATCGAACTTGCGACCATCGGAGTAAAACGGTGTGTTAAACCGCTAGACCACCGAGTCTGTCTTTATAACATGTTGCAAAAATGTCCCTCGACATAATGACTCACATAGATTTTCTTTAATTATATTAAAAAGGCAAACGACGTCGCGTGTAACCACTAGTTCTATATCATCGTATGTGTATTAACGAACTGTAATGCATTACAGTTGACATGTTTGAAGTGAAATTTGGATTGGTTTAGAAAGTTGCGATACGTGAGTGGTATACGATTTGCGAATGCCGGGGAAACTCCTGGTTGTATTAAAAGCTTTCCAAAGATATCGAGACCTAATTAAGATGGCAATATGCAATTATACAGCGATCGTTAATGTATTCTCAAGGCAAAAGTCCTACTGAATACTCATGAAACATGAGCACTTTCGTCTTATATTAAAATTCTCGTGTCACAATGTTATAGAATAGAATAGAAAATCATTTATTCAAATAAACTTACATTGAAGCACTTTTGAATAGTCATAACATTTTTTTTTTAATCTACCGCTCATTCGGAATGCTGTCTCATCACAAGAAGAATTTTTGTGTGTTTCTTTTAAATATAAGTTTAAGTGTGTGAATACAAACCACCGATTAGCACTAATTCAATGAAATAATTTTCAATATACAACAACTGGTTAAACAATTAATAAGAGAAAATAAGTCATAGTGATTAGAGCAGACCAGTCCACACAACCAGCACCCGTTCACGAGTATATATATAGGGAGCCCAATGACCCGGCCCACCACGCCGCCACAAGTCTGGACATTTTTATTTTTTAATTGCCATCTGATTTTTTTCACATTTCACATATGAATGCATGCGGCAATTACTACAAAAACCGCTACGCTTTCATATTTCTAAAATAATTGAATCAAGAAAGCAATGAGATAAACAAATTATAACGTTGTATGCTAATAAACTAATTATTTACTTGATATGTTGTCGTCCACTCCATACTCCATACTCCTCCGGTTTGACAGATTTTTGTGAAATTTTATATGCATATTCAGGTCTGAGAATCGGTTACTATCTATATATATATCTATATATATATATGTTTATATGGTAAAACAGCGTTAAGATATGAAGTGCAATGCTGAGAATATTTATTTTGTTCATTTATTTCAGGCTACTAATGGGCCAAGAGAAGAGGAAACGCCACTACACATCCTATGTGCCCACTCATGCATAAACGAAATATCTCCTTTGGAAAGTATACACTACGAGTATATCATGAGGAGATAAAAACCATCACTCCTAAGAATCTAGGTATCGAACTCTGAAAAATGGCGAGCACAATAAATCTATGTAGGTCGCAGTGCTACAGGTCCAAGCACCTGACAATAGCCCAAACAACCTAATAAAAAATAAAAGATAAACATATGTATAATAATAAAATATGTTTTCGATGGCCTCGGTGGTCTAGCGGTTTAGCGCACCGCTTTACTTCCGATGGCCGCGGGTCCGATTCCTCGCACGATGCAAACATTTGTATTCATGAGTCTGATTTCTAGTATCGATCTCGATGTTATCTATGTAGAATATGTATTTATATCAGTTGTTTAGTACCCATAATATAAGCTCTGCTTAGCTTGAGACTAGATGGCGTAGTGTGAATTGTCTAAAAAAACATAGAGGTACATGAATAGAGATATTTTGATTTTGAATGAAATAAATTTAAATTCAAAAGTACACAAATGGTAGCAGGTCATACCGTTACCAGCGCGCCCGCTACCATGTTAACATAATATTTAGATTTGTAAACGACACGTTTGCGAATTATTCAGTCTAGAGAAAATTAGGTAGAAATCCTTTTACGGGTTTAGTGGCGTTTTCTAATTCCACACCAAAAGATTTTATAATCTGAGATAAAAATAACTTTTTTTTTAATTTACGACAATGTTATGTCATCCCATAAAAATTGCGGTGATGGAGGAGTAAGAAATTTCGCACACTTATAGTTTATACTAGCTGTTCCCGTGACTTCGTCCGCGTGGAATTTAACTTTATTTTTCTAAAATAAAAGTAGCCTCAGTTACTCCTTATTACATAAGCTACTAGCCAAAAAAAGTCCCGTCAAAATCTGTCCAGCCATTTCAGAGATTAGCCGGAACAAACAGACAGACAGACAGACAAATATTGTAAAAAAT